CTTTTTCTTTCCTGACTCTTTTGTATGATTAATTCATTTCCTTATTTATCATCTTAATCTTTTTCTTTGTATGTTAATCTCTTTATATTTTTCTTTGAAATTTTGTTCTCTATAAAATATTTTTTCCACTAAAAACTTGTTATAGTGAATGAGATTTTTATCTTGATCTGTTGTCTTAATATCATATAAGATTTTCACCTAAGAAAAAACACACAGAAAAGAAAAGAGAGAAGATTTTCAATTTGCGATGGAAGATTTTCGATTTTCTTTCACTTACAACTTTAAAGCAATTAAAATCTAGGTTTGTGGAATTTCGGTTAATTTTTTTTCTCTCACCTCTCATATATACACACATTGCAAAAGAAGAGTAAAGTAAGATGAGAGAAAATAATTAACAGAAATCCCACAAACCCAAATCTTTAAAGATTCAATTTAATTGTAATTTGAACAAATTTTACAAATTGGGCCGTCAAATTGGTGTCCGATCGCGTTGGCGATAAATAATCACGCTATGTCTCCGATGATGATTGCAGTTTCATGGTGTTCCACAAAGAGGATGGTCATTATCTCTTTATTTGAATATAGAGAGAAAAAACGATTTTACAACTTTTGTTAACAGCTATATTGATATATTTAGATTTTAAAATAGTCCATATAGTAATATACACGGAAAAGTCGTAATATATCGATTTTTTCTAAGTTAGGCGAAATAACAATACTCTAAAAAAAAATTCTACTAATTTTAATTTTAACTAAACTAACAAATTTATATTTTAACTAAAACTAATTGGATACAAAATCACTACAACGACAGGGCCTCGACCAACAACAGATATACATTTTTCTTTTTTTCTTTTTTCTTTTTTTATCTCATGTATTGTTTAATATTGAACAGCGTGAAAATACCCGGGAGATGGAAATAGTGTATTGAGAACTAAGGATTTGAGATAACATGTGTATTTCTGTTCGCCAACATGAACATAAACTTTAAGTCAAATCAAAGTAAATCTTTGTTTTAAATATGATGTGTATTTTAGTTTATGTGATTGTATTTTTCGTTAAATTTCTGTTTCAAATGTGATGGACTCTAGCTTATGTGATTGTTTTTGGTCTTTGCATTGGCTTGTGACAAACAGAGCAGAATCAATTTGTCAAGAGAGGTTGGTTGTTCTGAAAGTTTATTTAATAAGGGGGTTTGACCATTTCTTTTTCTCTACCTTCTGAGAATAAAAAATAAATAAATTTGTTTTTCTCTTAGTAGTAGGACTTCTAGAAGTTATGTCTCTTGACGACTGTAGCGTAAAATATACATATATACATAATTTATATGTTATTTAGATGAACGTGCTTCAAGTATTTTTTTTATTTTTTTCCTCCTTGTTGTGTGACAGTTTGTGATTAATTGAGATCATATACTCCCAAACCATCTAATAATTTTTCATTCTTATTCTTTAGGACTAAGCTCCAACTCTTTCATCAGACTCGATGTGATAGGGTCAACTTTAATTGAATTATCTCGTTTCGTCTTTACAGGGAGACCTTGCCTATACTTAATGTTCAAATGCAAGCTAGGTACGCTATTTACCAACCGAAATAACTTGTATGTAATATTAGGAAAAGTTCATGAAACGAAACAATCTTCAACGAAAAAAATGTGTATTTGAAATGGATGCATGTTGAAAATAACCATAAGTGTCTTACAATCATTGATTATGCGTACTCATGACTTGCAGAACCAAATGTTACTTCATAATTATTAAAATGTTATAAGTACTTTTCAAATTTTATTTCTTTTTTTATATATGTGTCAGTGCACGGACCTAACATAGTACCAAGGCCCTTTCCTGAATTTTTAATATTTTCATTTTATATCTCAATTTTTTTAGAATTTATGAAAATGCCCCCACTAAAATTACAATTCACCCCACTTAATTCTTTTATTTATTTATTTATTTTTTTTTTTTTGTCACTTTATACTTCAAATTTTTGAGAATAATGCTACAATAATGTTGATTGGGAAATGGAGAGCCTTTGTCCAAAATGGAGAGACTTAGTTCAAAGTTTAAACTAATTTTTTTTTCAATTTCAAGATAATAATTCCATACAATTGAAAGAATATTTTAACTAAGTCTCATTATAGTTGTCCTTTTAACTAAGTCTCATTATAGTTGTCCTTTTAATTGTTTTTGAAGGGGTAGTGAAAATTAAATTTTTGGTAATTGAATGAATATGGTACTTATTTTGATCCAATATTTGATATACGAAAACATATAATAGTATATTTATGTAGTGTATGATTAGTCGTTATAAAAATATAAACAACTCAAATCTAACGGTACTTCGAGACAAAATTGAATAGAACCAAAAATTATATATATATATTAACCGCCACAATTATTCCTATATATTTAATTTTGGCTATCTAATTTTTTTTTTTTTTTTTTTTTTTTTATAATTACGTATCATTGCGGAAATAATATATAGGACAAAGGATAATAAATCTCCCTCGACTATGAATTTTTTTTACTAAACCCCTCTCGTGACACACCCCAATCCAATTTACAATATTTAATAAATTGAACAATTGGAATGTAACTAACCATCTGCGTTAACTTCATACATAAGTGACGTCATCATATATCAGAATGCTTGCTTAAAAGTTTACAATTAAAAATAAACTATAAATCCACCTTACAAGTTCTAAAAAAACTAAACAATTAATTACAAGTCACAATATTAAATTCTACTGCAATATTTACATTTTATACAAAAGACATTCCATTGTTCTTTTTCCCATTCACACCCAAGATTCTAAGCCTGGCAGTAGCGACCCAACCTTGTACTTGAAAATATAGATATGGAAAGAGTGAGCTTAAAGCCTAGTGAATACAATACTGCTACATTAGAATAATATAAATAAATATTATCTGATAACTTTGATTAAACTTCACTAACATATTACATGCATTAAAATATAGTACTCTCTTTCTAGGCCAAAGTATAGACCTTATTTAAATATAATACTTTCCTTCTTGGCCAGAGTATAAACCTTATTTAATATAGTACTCTCATTCCAAGTTAGGGTACGGACCTTATATAATATATTCATATTATATCAACATCCTCATTTCATATAAACATTATCAATACTTCAATTAACACGTTCAACTGTAAAAATTCCAATGAATACACTTACCTTGATTACTTCTCAAATTGTTTACTTATCATTTGATATTGTCGAAGTGATCGGTTCCTTCTCCTTGCTTGAACAATATTATAACTATGTCATATTCATTTCTAAAGAAAAACAAACAATAATCAAACTTTACACAATTGTAAATAAAAATATAATTAAAGCCCTTTATTTAAAATCTCAAGACAATAATTCTTATAATATAATCATCATCTCAGTCACTGCAATTGTACACTCAATTAACAGAAAATAATGGCAAACAATAGAATTATTCAAGGGCAACTCTCTAAATTACTTATTGAAGACTTATATACAATTTCCAAAAAAAAATTTAAAATACACTGCTCTATACCTGCTGTAAGTGCCGAAGTATTGTATAAGCTCTATCGTGTTTTTTTTCGTCCCTCTACCTCTTTCCTTTTCTTTCTTGGTGGCTTCCAAAACTTACCGTGTAATGGAGTTGGAAGGGATTTTAAAACAAGCTTATCAATATGCCTCTTCAACTATATATATATATATATAGTATCTTCTTCTTAGGAGGTATCCGACGCTAACGCTCCGACTAATCCCTCAAGTTATGCACAACGATCAGTCTAAGAACTAAGCAGGCGAGGTAGGAATCGAACACTGGCCATTGCGAACCAACACCCAAGACTTACAATCACTGCTAGTGTGGGAGTTGTTTGTGTACAGCTAATGCTCGTCCATTCTAAAGCTTTCTATATTTAAAACAATACATAAATTTAGAAACTAACTCCCAGCGGCTATGTACTTATGTAGTACACCCATCACCACTTGCAATCACCAAACACAAACACACTTCCTTGTATCAAACACACACACACACATCTTCGGTACATACCCACTTCATGAGAGCACACCCTCTACACATACGTGTCACCTGTTACAATACTATTACTAATATTATTATTCTTATTATTTATTTTCTTACCATCGCCTGCCACAAACTTAATAAGCTTTGCCATCAACCATTAATTTCACAATACAATTCACTCCACAAAATATTTAATAAATCATGTTTAATCAAAATTAAATTATACTAATGAAATTAATTTTGTATAGGAATCTTACACCTCAACTAATTTTTGCCAACAAATCTCTCTCCCAAACTAATCCAATCGGGTAGCTTAATAGATATTTGGACCAAAATACTCTTATTTTTATTACATAAAAAAAATTACATAAGACACCCTCTATTTTGAATTTTTGACAAAAAAACCTTTTTGAATAAAAATATTCACATAAAACCCTTTAACTATCCAATTTGTTGCAAAGTGATGTTATAATGACTAAAGCGCCCCTTAATATAAATTTAATAAATTGGTTCTTCTTAGTATTAAATTAAAATTAATACAAATTCATTTGGCATAGTGTTGTTCTAAATATTTTGATTTTTTAATTATCATATAGAGTATTATATACGATATAAAATTTCACTCATTTCATAATTGAATTTATTTGCATTCATTAATTTCATAAAAATTATAATTACTAAGATTTTTTATTAACTACGTCAACTCAAAATTCATGGCTAGATTATTTTTTTTTGTCTGGAAGATCTTCAAAAGTTCAATAAAAATCCATCACTAAAAATACATATTTATTGAATTATGTTGTAAAAATTGAAACTTTCGACTGATCACACACACCAGACAGTGTTCAATTCCTTGCAAAAGCAAATGAGTATCTGATTTTGTATTTTTCTTTGCCCATACTCGCTATATTACTGCCCAGTATAGTGAAAAACATAAAGGAATAAGAAAGAAGGAACAAATGAAAGTGGGCATTTTAGACTATAAATACATCAGTTCTAAGCCACCAACTACAAAACCCTAAACCGTACTCTCTGTCTCTCATTCTCTAACTTTCTCTCTCTAAGTTCGAGCTCTGTAGACCGTACGACAATGGCAACGCAATCGCTCGACGAAGTAACAGCAAAGAAAGTGATTCGTCAGGTTGAGTATTGAAGGGTTTTTAGTTCTGATTTTGTTATTTCAATGGAAAAAATCTAACCTTTTTTATGTTTTTCTTTGGTGTTGTTACACAGGTTGAATTCTACTTCAGCGATAGTAATCTTCCCAGAGATAACTTTCTCAGGAAAACGATCAGTGAGAATGAAGACGGCTGTATCCTTCAATCTCACCATTCGTATTTGTGCCGGTCTATGCCGGTGTGTATATGTGTGTATGCCATCTGTCTCTGTGTTACTAGTCTTATACGTTTATGGCCCATTCTGCTGAAAGAACATTGGAAAGAAATGAAGAATATATATATATACACACACGCACACAAACCAAAGTTAATGTGGATAGAGTGAGTAAAGAAAGTATGATAGCATGTGGATTGTCTATGGCCTTAGATAGAAAATACGGGATTCATGTAGAATCGGGAAAAGGCTTGGTTGTTGTTGTGGATATAAACATTTGCCTCTTTCTGATTTATGAGCTTTGAGTGCTTATGCTGATCTGGTTGCTGAAAAAATGTAGGAAAGAAAAATAAAGTCAAATTTTTGGAAGTTAAATGGCAATAAAATTAGGATTTAGGTCTTTATATTCCTTTTATCTGTTTCATGGCAACTGGATGGAGAGAGAATTGATTATACTTTGATTGTTTGCTGAGAAAATACAGGATTAAAAGAGAATTTGGGATCCCCCCAGAGTTCTTGTTATACTTGCAAAACAGTATGAAACTCGAACTTTTGGATCCTATATTCTTTACTTTCTTCAATTTTATGTTGCAACCGAAAGAGTGTTGACCATAATGTTGCAACCGAACAGAGTGTTTACCAGAATGTTGCATCCCTTGTTTCTATCATGTTCTCTTGACTAAAACACTAGTGATTAGTTTGGCTTTGATATGTTCGTTCACTCGAATGAGAAGCCATCTTAATTTGAAGGACGTGAAGCCAGAAGAGGTTTCAGAAGATATGGTTAAGGCTGTGGCTGAAACTTTGAGGACTTCTTCTTTTCTTAAGGTCTCTGAAGATGGTGAGTCCTTTTTATTTATTTTTTACTCTTTTAATAATTAATTTTGCCTTATGCCCTGTTTGGGCTCTGAGAAAATATAGGAAGAAATTTGGAACTGTAGCTCATATGTGGTGTATATATATTGTTGGTTATGCATTTAGGGAAGAAGATTGGTAGGGCTACCGAGCTTCAAAAGCCAGAAGAGGTTATAGAGCAATTAGATGTGAGGACAATTGCTGCATCACCGCTAGAGTATGATGTGAAGCTTGAAGATGTGGAATCCTTCTTTGGTCAGTGTGCCAAGGTATTAGCCGCCCCCACCCCTTCTTCTCTCTCTCTAAGATGCCAAGGTTGAAGATGCTTGTTTTTATTTTTTATTTTTATTTTTATTTTTATAAAAAAGAATTAAATTAAATATCTTGTTCACTTCCTTTTTACGTATGGATTTCAAATTATAGTCTTGTTCTAAGTTAGTTTTATTGGTGTCTGATTATTGTGACATAGGTTGAATAAGAATCAGAAAAAAGGATGCATATCTGTTGCTTAAGCTAGTTAAAATTATGGACAGAGAAGTAGAATTTATTTGAGTGTAAGACCACCTGGTGTTATCATCAGAACACTTCTCTTTATGGTTGTCAATGTTGGATTCCAGAGGCTAGACTCTTATGAACATGTGCCTATGGTCCAAAAATACTCAGCCACCAGTTCTGCCATGTCAAATGTATGATTCTCTGTAAACGAGTTTATTTTTGCTGATTTCAGGTTAATAGTGTGAGGCTTCCTCGCCATGTCACAGACAAAAGGGTTTTTTGTGGCACTGCTTTGATTGAGTTCTCAGCTGAGGAGGATGCCAAGAAGGTCTTAGAGCAAAGTTTGGTTTATGCTGGTGTCGAGCTAGAACTGAAACCAAAGTAAGTTATGCCTATGCTTGCCTTTTAATCAGTTGTAATACATTTTAATAATAAAAACTGAATGTGTATTGCTGGAACTGATTTAAAATCATAAACTCTAGGCTTCTCCCAGCACCCTTCGTTCTTTGAAGTTATAAAAATGGTTATAAAAATAGTTCGTGCTATCTGTTGCATGGTAGATCGTGGTTCACAACGGTCATTATTGGTTAGACACAGACAACAATGCAGGGTTCCTAGAGACATGCTCATCAAAATTTTAAAAATTAGGGACCTGGCCTCCTTTTTAGGTTCAAACTTCTCATATGGATGCATACGTAGAGGCAGACAGCAGACGTTGTAGTTGAACAATCAGCCATCTATGGCGTGTTCTTTAAGGGTACAGCCCATCTTGATGGACATGTTGGAGACTGTCTTTCTTTGTTATCAACTTATCATATGGTTTAATGCTCCTCTTTCTAATCCCTCTTCGGTGGTGTCATTTATAAAAAAAATCATTGGTGTCGCTGGTCCTTTTTTTTTGATAAGTAGTCACTGGTCCTTTTACTTGTTCTTTCTTTTGATATATTGTTGTTTTTTCTAAAATGTTAATTTAGCTTTTAGTGAGTACTATGGTTTTCTATGACAAAAATAGAAAAAAAGGAAAGTGGGTCTTTGTCATCTTGCTGGAATGCATTTCTAATATATGTTTTCTTTCCAATTCAGAAAGGATTTTGATGAAGAAAGAGCAAAGCAAGCTGAAGAAGTTGAGAAATCTCGTCCCCAATTCGATTCAAATCATAAAAACAGATCAAATCCTGAAGAAAAGTAAGTGATGACATAACTATGTGACTTCCGGCTATTTACATTTTTCCTGCTTCAAAATTAATCTTTATTGTTATCATCCATGACAATCACAGCTACCCCAAAGGCTTAATTGTTGCATTTAAATTGAAGAGCACGTCAACTGGAGGTTCAGCAGAACATAATGGAAGTAATAAGCCAGCTAGTGATAATTCTGATGTTCGCAAAACGGATGGGGAACCAGACTTCACAGTAAGTGTTACTGAAGGGGCTGAAGACAAGGTGCCAGAAAACAGTAAAGATGATGAAAACCCTGGGAGTTGTATTGAGGAGAGCGAAGTGAAGCTTAATGAGGAAACAGAGTTGGATAGTGAAGGAAAAGAAACCGAAGATGGAGAGAACTCTCTTGACAGTCCCGTTCAAATGGATGAGAATGATGGCAATGGGGGGAAGAAATCGGCTGCCGTGTACAAGGAGGACAAGGATGTTGTTTTACGGGAGGATCTGAAGGGCGTTTTTCAAAAATTTGGCACTGTTAAGGTATTATGATGTATCCTATTCTTTGTCTTAGTTGCTACTTCATGGCATTGTTTCTCGTAAAATATAATATTTTTTTATATTCCTTTATGTTTCAGTAATATATATATATGTATATATATTTAAAATTCATTACCTATCATTTGTTTCTTCTCTATTTCATTTCCTCCTTTTCCAGACCTTATGTTAAGCTATTCTTTGTTTCATTCTTGCCTACGATTGAACCTGGTAGAAACTTGATTTTCTTGCAATCCTTGATTTTGAAACTGAACTATATGTTGTTTGAAGTACTACATATCATTGTTTTGTTATTAGAAGGTCTTTGTTTTCTTAAATACTCATTTATCTGCGTGTTCTCCCCGGTTTACATTAATTTTGGTCAAATGACATGAATATTTTGCCATCTCAAGAAGCTGTTGACAGTAAAATCTCAGTCTGAAACTGCCCAGAGGCTATTGCATAATGACTATTTTTACGGGTATCAGAACATGTACCTTCAGCAAACTCTCTCCCTATTTTCTAGGGACACGGCCCACTCCACTCCACCACATGGTATGATATTGTTTGCTTTTGGCCCGAGCCCGCACGGTTTTGCCCTTGGGTTTTACCCCAAAAGCCTCGTACCAATTGGAGTGTTCAAATCTTACATATATAACACTTCCCTTTTTCATGCCCAAGCGATGTGGGATTGTGCACCTATAGCTCGCTCAGTGTAGTAGCCTGCAAGTGCCTCGCACTTGCCTACATAGGTCTTCACAATCACACCCAACCCTCTAGGGGCATAATGTCCCCGTTGGCCACACTTCCGGCTTAGTCAGGCTCTAGTACCATTTGTAACTTTCCACACTACCATGTGGTATGATATTGTCTGCTTTGGGCCCGAGCCCGCACGGTTTTGTTCTTGGGTTTTACCCCAAAAGGTCTCATACCAATTGTAGTGTACAAATCCTACATATGTAGCACTAACCTTTCCAAACCTTTAGTTCGCCCAGTGTGGTAGCTTGCCAGTGCCTCGCACCCTCCCACACAGGTCGCCACAATCACTCAAATAAAATGCTGGAGGAATTCTCCATCGGGGCGTTGAAGTTTTCTATTATTAATTCTCTTTTTAGTTTGGTGATGGGGAGAAATTGTACATCTTTAGATGAAATCGTGGATTTTTTGGATTCTTTGGGTCCATAGGACTCCTTTTTTGGTTTCGGTATATGTATAGCTCTTGGGAGGCGTTCCCCTTTTGAAAGCTTTCTATTACACTTTTACTTATAAAAAAAAAAGAAAAAAAATTATTGCAGAATCGCAGCCAAGATGTGGTATCACCCACCTAACCCCTGTATCAACTATGTCTTTTCGTTGTTAACTTTCAAACATTATAAAACACAGCAAATATTCGGCTGCTTATGATTGTCGTACATTAGAAAAAAAAAAAAAAAAAAGTGGACATTCTTGCATTCCACCTTGACCCACCAGAAGATCACCAACCAAGCCCCCCTAAACTGTTCTTGAAAACATACCATGTAATACCTCCATGATTAAAATAAATAGAAATAGAAGAGCACAGAGAAGTGTGTCTTTAATCCCTGGAGCTTGTAGGATATGCAGATGTCAGTGTTACTCAGCTTGTGTGGAATGCCAAAGAGGAACATGCATTAGAAGCTTAAAATTTTATGTATGCTAAAATGTCTCCAAGTAAGGTAGATGCAACAGAACGCGTGCCACTGCAATCTTTCATATGATACTCAGCAATTCAGTGTCTTGGTTATTTAGTGTGCATATGGAAACCCTGTGTTGGTTTTTCAAAGTTGAAATTCATGCAGATTTTACTTGAAATTTGTGCAGACAATTAGTTTTACTTGTTTAAAGCTGAATATAAACAATATGTTACTTATACCTGTATTGGTTGCAAATATAGTTATTTAAGAAAATGCATCGTGTCAGATCGACTTCGTATATGGATAAATTTTATTGTTGCTTGCCTCCATGGAGATATTTTGTGGACCTTAGGTTGATGTCATAATAAAAGCACCTCTAAAGTGGCTAATGTTTTGTGTTATAAATACTTTTAAAAATATATAGTTAGCGTTATAAAAAAGTAATTGTTGAGGTTTACCAAAGTTTATAAGTGTAAAATACAGGATCATGAAATCTGAATAGCATGTTAAATTACATTTGGAATGAAGCTTACAGTGCCTTGTCCTTGGACAATGATATAGTGTGAAGCTGGCTTTCATGCAACTTGGGGGGAATAGATGTCAGATGGGTTCCTTGTTAAGATCAGTGCTTGTTCCCTGTTCCCTGCAAGAAGTTCAATTAATTGGATATTGTTAGATGTTCTGGCCTTGATAATGGAACACAATAATGCAAGATTTGTTGGCTCAAACTTCTCTTGTTCACAAATAGATAGGTAATGCCTTTCAAATAGGTGCGTTAATACTTCATTTTTACCTCTTCTATTCCTTCATTTCTGTATCATTTTCTGTTAGTTATGGTTCTTAAGCTTTGAGTTTATGGGCTAGACTACTGTCACTGTTGTATCCAAAACCTTTCACAAGCCTTATCTCATATTCTTTGTCATTATAGCTTTCATAATCAAATTATTGAGCGTGAGCTTAATTTTTCTGCCTCAATTGTGTGTGGGCTGGTGCTCTTGAATGCTCAATACTCGCAAATTGCTTCAAAAAGAGAGGAAAATATTGATTTCTTATTAATCTTTTGCCAAACCCATAGTTTTTATAAACCCTTACAACGCTCATCATGCAAGCCAAATTTTAATTTGTTCAGATACGTAGAGCTATTCAATCAATTGGCTCATATTTCTTTTGCTCATTGATAAATTTTGACTCTAGTAGTAAGGATTAAGCTCAGATTCGTTTAGTAATTGTTGTTTTAATCATTATTACTTCATCCCAATTAAAATGTCCCTTTGTGGATTCGAATTTCCAAGAAAGTGGCATTTAATGTATTGACATTCTGTTGGAAAAGATTGACATTTCCCTCTAAGATATAATTTTTAACTGGTAATTTTATCATGGCCCAACCATCTTGACACATGTTCCCCTTCATTTGTTATGCTTAACCCACTATCAATTGAAAACTACCCAATTTGCTGTGTCTGAGTTTGTGATTATTCTTTTAGATTGAGCGCTATTTTCGTTTGGTGTTGTCATTCTGTGCTTCACTTGGGTTTCATTTTTGTCATTGTGAAGACTGAACTAATTATGCCTTGCATGCCTCCAATCACATTCCTCTTTTGTGGAGTGTGATAAAAAGAGCTTTTGGGGGGTTTCTTGAGTTTTAATTTAATGTTTTTGCCTTTGTTCTTTTTTCTCCTTGCAGTACATTGATTTCCGCATGGGGGAGGATTCAGGATACATTCGGTTTGAAGAACCAGGAGCAGTTCAGAAAGCACGCACTGCTGCTGCGCTTGCCGAGGAAGGCGGACTGGTTGTGAAAAATTACATTGCTACTTTAGATCCTGTGACTGGTAGGCAGCAACTCGTTGCTCTGTGTTCATTTCATTTGAAGCGTTTCTTGAAAGTTCCTTTGTTGCTTGACTAGATTTTGCGCTACTACAAATATCTTTCATTACTTTTGAATTCCCAGCCGTAGGATTTGCCGTTTGGAATAGTTATGTTATTTGAGATTCACAATACATAGTATGTCATATGCTATATACTGCTCAATCTATCGATGTGAATGTGCATATAGATCCAACAACATTGGAGCAAAAGAAGAAAAACACTACACAAAAAGATATTAAAGGATATTTACAAGTTGGAATTACTATAAAAAATAATGAATGCATCAGTTATGCATTTAGCTAAAGTGTACAGTTTTTACAAGTTATAATATTGAATTTGTTGTTCAAGTGGGAGTGAGGGAACTTACTCCAAGGGCAACTCCTGTAGCACTCAAAAGCGTAGGAGAGGGCCCATTTGAGGTAGTGATGAATGACCCGTTGTACAATCTTATAGTGCATGCATCAGTGATGTTTTATGGCTGAAGTGTATAGGGCTCCTGCTCCCTCTCTGCCTCTTTCATGCATTTTTTATGTTTTCTTTTTTCTTTCTTTTTTTCTCTGAATTGGGGGATGCGCATCTTTTGGTCTTCTTTGGGTGTTCAAATTTCAAATTCAACTCTATTTCTGTACAGCGTCTCCTTTGATGACTAATTCAACCCTAGAGATGTCTCCGGCTGTATTAGACTTTATTTTCATAAATGCATCTGAGTTATCTGAGCACGTGGTTCCTTTTGGTATATACATGCATGCCTTTGTTGGTTTATACACTCATCTCTTGCTGGGGTATCTTGAATTGGTTGGATACTGATGCCAATTTTCCTTGGTGATATATTTTTGGTATATAAAAGACAACCTATACAGTGTACTTACATGTGTGTGTCATGTTTTTATTCTGCAATATTGATTTTAAAATGATAACAAAGTTTAAGGGTCTTATGTCCTGTCACTCTTTCAGGTGATGCTGAAAGGGAGTATTGGAGTGTACTTCGAGGTAGCCAAGATAAGCGCAAAGAAAACTGGAGCAACCGTGGAAGGTATGAATCTTCTCTCCTTAGTTCAGAATGCCTGTAGGAGCTGTTTGGTTCAGTTTTTCAAGGACAGTTTTTGTTCTTTGAGAACTCGAAAACAACATGAAAATTCATTTGGTTGATAATTTGTTGAAAATTGTTTTCTGATAGAGTTAGGGGGAAAAAAAAGGTTCTCTTTTAAAAAGTCCTATGGATTTCTGGAGAACTGTTTTAGAAAATTAAATAAAAAAAGTTTCTTTTTTCTGGAGTTTAATTTGCTTTTTGTTTTTGTAGAACTCTGAGCTGAATATGTATGTACAAATATGGGTCATTGCATAAATTCCATTAAAGCATCAGCACCGTAAAAAGAGTTGAACATATTTTCTTCACATTTTAAGCTATTATAGAGGGCCTTTTTTTTTTTGGTCAATTTTCTTATCAGGGGAGGAGGAAGAGGAGGCCAGAGGGGCGGGAGACATTTCAACAAGAGGCACTCTCGCTCTAGAGGAAATGATTCTGGAAATCGCTCAAATAAAGTTCAGAAAGTTGGAGCTGCATGAGTTTACCAAACACCACCTCAGTCGGTTTTGTGACCTTTTTCCTACAACCCGCCACAATTTTGTGCCATAACGTTTGTGTTGTTCGATGGCTTGGTTTCTGTTAGAGCTCACAAGAATATGTTACTAATTCGTGCTCAACAATTATATGTTTTAATTCTTATTATCTATAATGTAACTGCGATTCTGTTGACTAATAAGTTCTATTCTCGTTTTTATGATCTAGATTTTGTTTGTTGATCTTGTTAGTACACCCAATTCCAATTCTAAATTTGTTGAAAAATGCTGTGACCAACTGCAGACTTGATTTTGGTTACCCCTTGTGGCGCTGAAGCTCGTACAAGTCCTCTCATGACTTCTTTCTTTCTCTTTCTATTCTTTCAAGTTACTGTGTCGTGTAAGCAAAGATTAGTGAAAAAGGGTAGTTCGGATCTAAAGAGTATTAGTCAAGTGGAAGAGGAGCAGAATGAAAAAAAACTAAGATTAGTGTTGTTGATAAGCACCGAATTGGCAGCTTAGATTTAAAATTAGTGAAAAATTAGTTCAAAATGTTGTATTAAAATTCTTCTAATCTCAAATTCAAAGCACCAATATTATTTGTAATCAAATCCTTAAATCATCATTCTTTTATAAACTCGTGTTAAAAGTAACGTAGGTCATTTCTAAGTTAAATTACCAACCTAAAATCCAGTTTGGTTTGTTGGATTTGTCTAATCCTATTTAAAGAAATTGTACCTTAAGGGTGTTTTTGAAAAAAAAAAAAATAATAATAATAATAATAAAATTGGCAGGGGATAAACAACACAAATAATGGGATGGATTAAATGGACTACAGTTATGAGGGACTCTTGTTTCCATGCCTATATTTTGTGGGTGAGAATTATATATCTTTTAACTTATTTAACAAAAAAGGAAAAAAAAAAAAGAGAAAAAGAAAGAACTAAATAAACCACTTTATTAGATAGATTTTTTTTTTAAAAAAAGAGTTTAATAAACGATGTTTGGGAGAATCCATACAATTTGAGGCCATTTTAGCTCACCGAATCGCTGACGCGATTAATAAATTATACAACTATACATGCTATTTATAAAAATAAAAAAATAAAAAGAAGAAAATCGTGACCCGACCCTGTTCTATTACCCGACCCTTTCTCAAACCATTTTCAAAGCATGCCGTTGAGGGTTTAAATATTTAAATCGTTACCAAACAACCCTATTGAAAATGGAAGGCCGAGATTGCTACGTGAGTCAATTATTCCCGTTGTTATATTAGAACATGTTCGACGTTTAGCAGAGGATTTGAACTACGTTGTCCGCCCCTTTTTATGTTGGAATAGAGCTCCTTCAGATCGTTCTTACTGTCTCTCTCTCTCTCTCTAAAACTCTATCTTCTCTCTCTAAATTCGCCGAGCATCTGCAGGTTCCTCTCTCTGTCTCCACTGGGACTTGCAATGCGCGGTGAGTCGGCAGACTCTTGGACTCCATTTCTCATCCGATTACATTATTTTCAGCACACTTCGGTGAGTCTCTTTTGGGTTTATGTTGTTCTTTTCTTTTTCTTTGTGTGTGTGTAGGAATTGTTCTAATTTGTTCGAAAATGTAAAAACCCCTTGGTTTTCTTTGATATCAATTTTTAATCCTAAATTTTTCTCTGATGGGTTCATGAAAACCCTATTCAATTTTTTCTTTTTAATGTGTTTTTGGTTGATGCTCTTGTGCATTCGTTCGTTTTAGACTTGGTAAAATTAGGGATTGGGTGCCAGAATTCGATGAATTTTGATATACTGATCTGTTGAAAATCAAGTTTCAGGGAAAGAGGCCGCGGGACTAGTATTTGGATTTTGCCGAGATTTGATAGTTTAAATGTCTAATTCTTTTTCCTTTAGCTGGTTTTTGGCTAATTTATGTCCGAGCCATTTATAAGGCTATTCAATTCAACAAGTAATATTTCCTTATTTCGTTTCTTGAATTCTTGATCTATTGTAAGTTAGGTTTTTAATTTCTAAAATTTAATGCTCAGAAGTAAGAGATTTGATTGTACATTCATTAAAGGCAATTGAATGCAGATTGTGTATTCCAGTAAAGTTTTTACTTTCTTACTGAGTTTTGATATGATTCCTGTTCTTTCTCCTTTTTTAGCCTGTGAGTTTATCCTGCAAAAGGGTAGATCCTGCCACATCTTAGAGAAATTGATAATGATTTGGGTAAGACATTACGGGAAGAATTGCCGTCGTGCTGGAATCAGGATATGTAGATTTGCTTTTCTGTCAAATGACTATGAGAGGTGATAAGATTAGTACTACTACTTCAGACGGGGTTGGTGATGGTTATCAGAAATTGCGACCTCCACACGGGTATCATTTTAAACCACACTACATGGTTCTTTGCATGTCCTTTCATAGTTCCAACTTTATTTTTATTTATTTCTTGTTTTTCTTATATACATTTTCTCATGCCATATCTTGTAGTAACTTCTATTAGTTCTATACCTTGAAAAAGGGGATAGCTGCTACACAATAATATGTGTTCATGGGGTACTTTAACACCTATTTGTTAGTGAAAGCATGTGTGGTGACAAAAAATCTTGAGACAGTACTAATTCTACACTCTGTAATAGTGTTTGTAACTCCTTCACAATAATATGTGTTCATGGGTACTTTAACACCTATTTGTTAGTGAAAGCATGTAAATCTCGAGACAGTGCTAATTCTACACTGTAATAGTGTTTGTAACTCTTTCACAATAATATGTGTTCATGGGTACTTTAACACCTATTTGTTAGTGGAAAGCATGAGCGGTGACAAAAAATCTTGGGACAGTGCTAATTCTACACTCTGTAATAGTGTTTGTAACTCCTTCAGCTAGATGAAATATTCCTATTGGTGCCTGGCACCTTCAGTTGTTACCAATTTACATGTTTAACTTGGTGGTGATGTTGGTCCTTGTTGTTGATAATGTAAATCAAAACTACATCAATCTCTATCAGCTTGTGCTTCAAGAGCAATCCATTGTTAACTTCTTTTAGTAAACTGATAATTTGTGGGAATTCTTTCATTTTTGTTTTGTTGGACATAAGTATTGCTATTCTTTTTCTTTGTTAAAATTTATTAAACAAAAAACTAATATTGTATCACTTACTTTCTAGCCAGAATATTCCTTACAAAATGTCAAAAGCCTTCTTCCAAACCCACACCGATACATCCTCACACACATGCACACAACTAATCTATAACTATGGATGTTTTACATGGCGAAAATCTCATTTGATTGAGAGAATTACCATTATTTCAACAACTTGACAATGTTTAACAGTATTCCACTGGTTTATAGGAGGACTAGTGGCCCTACGAGGCGTTCTACGAAGGGACAGTGGACAGCTGAAGAGGTATGTGATTACTTTTTTTTGAAGTAGAGATATATATGTCAAGGTCACTAACCTGTTATTGTTTAGCTTTAGCTTAATAGTGTTGCTGTCTTGTGCTGTCAATTTTTATGCATTCCATTTATATCGGATGCTCTATTAACATTAATACTATTTATGCATGAAGATGTTGAAGTTCAAAATCATTTCATTTTTTTTTTACACTTGTTGTAGTCTCTTGCCCATTTCTTCAATTTTTTCTTTAGTAGGTGACTGGGATGCAAATTGGCATTTTTAATACCTATATTTATTTTAAAATGTGGATTGAGATTTTTATAGTTACTCTGCAAACTTGTATGTAATATTTGCCTCTTGGCACGGTTCCAACCTAAGTCACATAAAGCGGGAGTGGGAGCGAGAGTGAATTCGAGAGCGGGAGTACGAAAATGGAAAAATTAAATCACAAATAGTGAGAACTTGAGCGAGAGTGCGCGCTTGGAGCGTGAGAGCGACACCCGTTGCGAATGATTGTGTGACTTAGGTTCCAACAACATAAATTTATCTCTTTATATCAAGTTGTACAGACTTGTATTTGTTATTTGCACCTCTCACTGTATGCATGCAGACCTGCGTCTATGGGTTTATATATATCATCATGATGTGCATATATTGATGATAATCACTGCACCGGCATTTATACATCTAAAAATGTTCCTTATCTAATTTGATCTATCAATTATTTTGCATGTTATTACTGCAGTTTATTTTTTTTTTTGGTGATTGATGTTATTCTTATATTCTCTCCATTTGTCAGAAGTGCACTATTGTTTTGTATGGTAATGATGTCTTGCAACCATAGTTGTTTGCATCTTAGTTTTTGTTTTGATTGAGCTTCAATGATTATTGATCTTCATAAAAATCTAGATTTTTTATTTTTCTTTGCACATATTCCTAACGGGATGGATTTTGCTTTTAATTTCAGGATGAGATTTTGCGCAAGGCTGTCCAACGTTTTAAAGGGAAAAATTGGAAAAAGATAGGTATGCTTGTGAAATCAATGCATTTATTTTCATTAGCATCTCATGACACTAGATGTAGGTTTGAGTATCATATACTTTCCTCCTTTTTTTCCTCTTTATTGAAATGTATAAACATAATTGGACGCAATGGGCTTTCTAGCTTCTTGAATTGTGCACAATAGGATATATTTTCTGGAAAGAGAAGCAAACTATCTTCAATTCTATCTTTAAACTTTACTTGCATTTGGATTTTTGGGTCTTTGTATCACCAAATCTGATTTTGTGAGAAGATTTTCAGACCTTTTTATCTATTTAAATGGTCCAGATCAGATTGATGCATTTGTTTTTGGATTAAATGGTCTTGCTGCAGGCAATAGTACCCTACTTGCATTTGGATTTTTGGTTCTTTCTATCACCAAATCTGATTATGTGAGAAGATGTTCAGACCTTTTTCTCTATTTTAAATGGTCTAGATCAGATTGATGCATTTGTTTTTGGATTAAATGGTCTTGCAGCATATATAGGCAATAGTACTCTACTTCTTCTAACCTATTATTAACCACCAATTAGATATTGAGTAAATTTCTTTCTTTCACTTATTACCCTGTGCTTATTATGCTCAAGATATGTAGATTGCAACACAACAACATCAATCAGTTAAAGTATAGAGAGCAGAAATAAATAAATTATGCACCTGAACACACAATTTTTACCTGGAAACCCAACGGGGAAAAATCACAAGTCCTGGTCCAGGAAGACCAAATCCATTACGAGAAGAGACTGTACAAGTAGGTTGACTGTCCAATTCCTGGGACTCCTCGTTGTTACCTCTTGATACAGACTGATCACCAAACTCCACACTTGAGTTAACAGATTGTGGTCCTCACGTGATATGCTTCTCCACAAGCACTTTGATCTCCTCGGCTAGTCGTCCAAGTTGCGTGTTCGTTTTGTAGAGACACTTTGGTATTGAATTCTCCGTATAGCAGAAGGATTAAGAAATAGCACTCAGAACAATAACTCACCATCTGATGCAAGATGTAGATGATGAAAAATAAAATATGCTCTCTAAAAATATATAATTTGAGATTAGAAGTCTTCGTATAATGCTTTGAGTCCAAAGGAATTATGGTTTCTTAATTGTAATTAGGTTAGAAAAGTCTCCAAAAATTGTTCCTGCACAGGTCGATCAATTGAGCTATCGACCTACAACTACTATTCTGGACTTCTATATAATTTTATTTGGAAACTTTCAATTGATTTACACATTCTATCTTTGTGAAAAATTCTTGTTTAAACATATTTATGCCAAAAACAACTTCATGCATTCAGAACATCGAAACATGTGTCTGTCATGCCTTAAAATGAATCATGGTAAGAATGCATGACATGAATCCTTTAATTACTCCCTCCGTCCCATATTAGTAGTCCATTTTTCTCTTTTTACATGTCCCAAATTAGTTGTCCTCTTTGAAAAGTCAAAGCATCTTTTCATTATATTTCCATCACTATCCTTTATCTTTTTAAAAAATTTTGAACTTTATAACTATATATATTTAAATTAAAAAGGACAATTTGGTAATTTTAAAAGGAGACAATGCATTAATTGCATGTCCCCTTAAAAACTCCAATTTCTAAACATGGACTTCTATTGTGGGATGGAGGGAGTCGTTAGTTATCCAAGTGGTGATTTTATCTTTTTGCTCTTTGATGTGTCTTCAAATTGTGGTTCTGCCCTTGGACATAGGTATCACCATTAAGTCATTAACTAACTATCTAACTAAATTGAACTAAATTGACTTTTGAAAAACTAATTAAAAGAAAAAAATAAAAGTACAGACTCTGACTTTATAACAAAATTGTCAACTACTAAGTTCTAGTCCTAGCAAGTTCAGTTTTTTCAGAAACATGACCCAAGATTCCTTTGGCATATCAAAAGTGCAGGTCCTCCATGCTTAGATGCTTTTCTTGAGAGACATGTCCACTTCATGTATGCCTTGCACTCATGCACGATGGTTGTTTGTTGAGTTAGCCCTTGTTTCTTCCTACAGAATTCTTTTGGAAAATGATGTGGACAAATGTTTAAGGATCCTTACTTACTGGAATATCATAGGCATACTTAACTGAATACTTTCTTTTTCTCAACAAATACCTACCCGATTTTTGCCAGGTCTAATTTAACAAACAGCTACCTCGTATGCACTGTGATAGGAGGAAAAAATTGGAGGGAGACAAATTTAACATTTGTATTATAGACATAATTTTCTTTCAATTGTGAAATTTTGCTTTATGTAGCGGAATGTTTCAAGGATCGAACCGATGTACAGTGCTTACACAGGTGGCAGAAAGTTTTGAATCCAGAACTTGTCAAAGGTCCATGGTCTAAAGAGGTTAGGCTTATTGTTGTTCTTACTTCTTTGTAATTTCCCTTCTTTAGTTTGCTTTTCTAATATATACAATGGTTTTGACTATTGGAATTCCTTTTCGTAATTCATAATAACACAATTGTATCTGTAATGATATGTACAGGAGGATGAAATAATAATTGAATTAGTGGACAAATATGGGGCAAAAAAATGGTCTACCATTGCACAGCATTTACCTGGACGAATTGGGAAGCAATGTCGGGAAAGGTAAGATCTGAAAGGCTTTTCTTTCTATTTTTGTGGGATTTCTTTATCTTTCCTCGTTTTATGCTTATCTTGCCTCCCTAGTCTGAAAGTACTTTCTGATTATAAACAAGGAACCAATTTAGAAAGCTAGCAAAATATAGCCAGACGTATCTGCATGAGAAATCATTCAATTACAACGAAGTTGCTACAGATACATTATACAGTAGTGCCAAACTTAAATACTGTATTTTGACTATGAATACCTTAAGATACTTGGTGTTAGTATTAGTAGTTGTTTTTTATTTTGTCTTTTTCTAGGTGATAGAATACTGCCCAACCAATCTTCACCTATTATATTGATTGGCATGCCACATTCTAAACTGGAAAGCACATTATGATGGTTCACTGAAAGGTCAACTGGGTGGGAGTTGGCTTTTGTGTTTTTAATTGGTCATTGTTGTTTACAAGGTTTTATGACATGTTATAAACAAGGAGCTAATATGATAAAGCTAGTCGATTATAGCAAGACATTTCTACATATGAAATTATGCAATTACAATGAATTTGTGGCAGATACAGCATATAGTAATGGCAAATGTAACTAATATTTTTTGTGATTTAATTGTTAATTTGTAAAGAACCATAATTTTGTTTGAGGTTTAGTATTTTTTTCCTCTTACCTGACTGTCTTTGACCACTAAAAGGAACCTTTGGATAGTCATTTTTCTTATTGGTTTTTGTTTTGTTTTGTTTTTTTTTTCTTTTTCAATTTGTTATTATTGGTTATTTGGGTTTCCGTGTGATGGATAATTATCCATACTGGTTTCTTTATTACTTATGGAGTCCCAGTATGATCTCTCTCTAAGTTGAGCTTTCACAGTGTTACCTTAGGAATTAGGATAGTGATGATTTAGGTTTTGATTGATTGAGCATTAGAGGATGCTGGTACAAAACAAAGTTGCTATATTTCACCCATTTGGAGGAATTTTTTTTGGGTTCTACAATTATCTACAGAGGCCATACTGTATATTGAATAAAAAATTATAAAAGCTCATCAAAGCATATATTGGTCCATTTCTTTCTTTTGTACTTCCCTTTTTGCTAGGGGATTGATTTTGGCTTTACTCCATTTATTTATTTTCCTTTCATCTAATGTCTGGAAGAGTATTGCTTGAGCTAGTGGATGCAGTTTGATTGCATTTACATGTCTAATTGTTTTTTATTTCTTACTTGTCCCATACATTTGGTGCAATGCTTCATGGCTTTAAATGATACTATTTTCTAGGTGGCATAATCATCTTAATCCCACCATAAACAAGGAGGCTTGGACACAGGAAGAGGAATTGGCTTTAATTCATGCCCATCAAATTTATGGGAACAAGTGGGCAGAGTTAATGAAATTCTTGCCTGGAAGGTATGCTCATTAGTTATTTCAATGAAATAGTTTTTAATTCATTTTTATTGAATTTAGAGCTTTAAAATCTTCTGCTGTCAGATATATACTCCTTTGCTTGCGTTTTTTTATATCTTCCAAGATTTACGCTTCTTGAACTTGCTCATTTGTCTGGTGGTAATGTAATGCCTTCATGTGGAGTTCTGTTTATTCAAAATTTGTGAACTTCTGTTTTTATGTTAGAACTTATATTTATTAGCATGATTTCTGAAATATTTGTTTTTATATGATCATCAGGTCAGACAATGCCATAAAAAATCATTGGAACAGCTCTGTGAAGAAGAAACTGGACTCTTACTTGACATCAGGATTACTAGTGCAGTTCCAAGGCCTCCCTCATGTCAGCCATCCGAACCAATCCATGGCTTCGTCTTCTTCAAGGGTGATACAGACCAGTGGGGAGAATGGGATAGAAGCGGAGGAGATTTCAGAATGTAGTCAAGGTTCAAATGTTGTTGGTTGTTTGCAATCTACAAGTGACATGGTCAATGTAGATGCACATGCTAGAGAAGAATGCCGATTAACTGAAGAATCTTCTCATGGAAAGAATCCATGCTCCAGTCCAGCATCATGTTCTGAGCATTATCACGTAGCTCTTGAAGATGTTGCTTTTTCAACTCCAGAAGTACTTTACGAATTTGGTGACTCCTCAAACCTTGATCACAATTTCTCACACGATTGGGGAATTTCTGCAGGTAAAGATTGGCAGCATAATTTGAAGGAGTCATCTGATATAACTTCAATGGATTTGGGACAGGAATCATCAGGGTTGTTGATGCATTCTATAGGTGGCAATGGAAATCATGAGGCGGTACATTTCCCATTACAAACTACTGAGGGTTTAAGTGTGTCTACTTCCGTGGGAAACATGATAACAGATTCTGATAAAACAGAGTGCATGTTGATATCCGAAGATAGCAGTTGCAGGGTGATATTCTCAGATACAAGGACTGATGGAGGGAATCTTATGGAGTGCTCAAATATCAACTTAGATGGATCCACAGATTCATTACTATACCAATCATCAAACTGTCAGCTCCCCGAAGTTTCAGGCACTTTAGCTTCACAATCATATTATCCTCTGAGGTCTGAGATTCTGGAATCGTCAGAATGTCAGCCGTTTTCTGTTCCTCCACTACTTTCAGATGATGTTGCACCTATCTTTGTTAATGATTCGAATCAGTTTGATATTCTTTCACTTGAGAACCAAGAAGAGGAGCCAACCATAGGTTTACATGATGGCTTCATCTATGCCAATGACACTGCCGGTACTCCTTGCAGTGACAGCATGGATAACATGGGCCTGCAAATGCAACAGGATCAGACAAAGGACTCCACAAAGCTAGTTCCTGTGGATGATTTTGGTTCGGTACCATCAAATGATAAAACTTGCCCTTCAATGGATGAAAGTGCAATTGTACCAACTGAACAGCAGGATGCAGGATCTCTATTTTACGAACCTCCTCATTTTCCTAGCCTGGATATTCCTTTCTTTAGCTGTGATCTAGTTCAATCTGATAGTGATATGCAGCAAGAGTACAGCCCTCTTGGTATCCGACAACTCATGATGCCTTCCATGACCTGTTTCACTCCATTTAGGTTATGGGACTCACCGTCTAGGGATGGTAGTCCAGATGCAGTGCTGAAAAGTGCTGCCAAAACTTTTACATGCACACCATCCATATTGAAGAAACGGCACCGTGATCTGTTGTCACCTTTGTCAGAGAAGAGGAGTGAGAAAAAATTTGAGAGTGACATGAATCAGTTTTCATTTTCCAGCTTGACCAAAGATTTTTCCCAATTAGATGTTACATTTGATGGCAATGCGAACCAGAAAGCATCTTTGCGTTCTTCATTGTCAAACCAGAAAAGGAATTCCACAATCTCGTCCAAAGATAAAGAAAATCTGGGTCATGATTTTGAAGTGGGCAAAGATGACACTGGACTTTTGGACAAAAGAAACTCAGAGAAAGAGTTTGATAGCACTATTTCCCAGGACAAGGCAGGGGAAGGGACTTCTGCCACTGATCCTAAAACTAAGGGTTTAGTTGATGCAGCGGTTCGAACTGTGAGTTTTTTTTTGGGATTAATTTTACATAACCTTATAAAGATAATGGCTATAAAGTGTCTTTTCTAAATTACGTCGTGAAACTTGTAAGGACAAAGATAGTTACTCTGTTTGAAAAAGAATTTAGTTCTGAACAGGGTCATACTTGTCACTTGTCAGTATCAAGCGTCTTTCACTTGGACTCCTGTCCATGTTACAAATTTCTCAGCTCCTTGTTGGCATTTTTCTTTTCTCTGTTCAATTCTTCAAACTCTGTGTTGATGCTTAGATTGTTGGAGTAAAGAGTTAAAAGTGTCGTTACTTAATTTGGCACCCCAATATGGAGATTTTGGGAGGGAGGGATTGGATCCCTCAGTTTTATTTGCATGTCAAGCGGTTGCTCCCAGACTTGAATCTTAATTGTGCTTGCCAGCTCGTTCTTTTTATGATTGCATTAAGCAATGGCCCTTACTATGACAATTGACTCATTTGATTTTAGTTGTATAAATCCTGTCCAGATGGTTCAAACTTTTATCATTATATTGGAAGTTGAAAAGTACTACATTAGATTGGTTTTTTAAATCTTTTTGTTTGTTATTTTCAGGTGCAACATCCTTCTGGAATCCTTCTTGAACATGACATAAACGATCTACTTTTCTTTTCCCCTGATCGATTCGAAATTAAATCAGACAGAGCCATGGGTCCAAGTTCTAAAACTCTTGGAAATCAGCATTCTAGAAGATTGGAGGCTGCACCAAATCAAGGCACTCTTTCAGAATTTTCATCCACAAATTCCCACTTACCTGTTGTTACCTCTACAGTTTGTGAGAAGAATGACACAAATCATTTGGTTGCTTCTAAGTCTGTAAAATCTGCTACTACATTGACCCCCTTAAAGATTACAGTTGAAAATTCTGGGAATAATGCTGGTGTTGAAAACTTGAGCATGTAAGATACTGCAGCTTTTCCTGTTGTTATATTGTCATTTTGTATACTCCATAATGCTGTTTCCTTGTCTTTTTTTTTTTTTTCCCTTCTTTTTGATCACTTAACAAAATGATGGCTTTTTCTGGGAGATTAGGAGATTTTTTTTTTTTTTTTTTTTGTTGGATTTGTACAAGTTTCCATTATAGATGTGGTTAAATTTTACTCATATTACTTTTATGTCAGATTAGTATCATACATTGTTTTTCATTCGTCTCTTGTTTGTTAGTAGAAGAAAAATCTTCAGATGGTTTTTAATGAGAAAGCTTATGATAATAGGATACCTAGAGATCTAATGTGTATGTTATCTGCTATGATATTATTTCAAATGATGAATCTAGAGATGAGTTAAGTACTAAATTGGAAGTTTAGAAGGATCTCTAGAATTAAAAGGATTTAAGATAAGTAAGAATGAAACTTAATATATAGTGTAATTTTAGTAAAATCGAAAAACACAAATAGGGATACAGTGAAGATTGAGGATAAAGAGAGTGAACATTTTTGCTATTTAGGCTGATAGTTTACAATAAAGAAAAAATTGGAGATATTTTTAATCATAGAATCAAGGCAGGATGAGTTTAGTGGAGGAGTTGATGTTAATCATAGAACCAAATAGGGATACAGTGAAGATTGAGAATAAAGAGAGTGAACATTTTTTGTTATTTAGGCTGATAGTTTACAATAAAGGGGAAACTGGAGATATTTTTAATCATAGAATCAAGGCAGGATGAGTTTAGTGGAGGAGTTGATGTTAATCATAGAACCAAGGCAAGATGGGTGTATATTGTGTGATTCGCGTATCCCTCTAAGATCGGAAGTTAAATTATATAAAACAGCTATTTGACTAGTCATTCCATACGAGTCAGAATTTTGGGCAACTGAGAAACAACATATACATAAAGTGCATATGGCGGAAATGTGAATGTTGAGATGGATGTGCAGTAAGACAAGAAAGGATACAACTAGAAATGAACACATTATGACATTAGTGAGTTAATTTGAAGTGGTGATCATTGCGATAAAAAGTGAGAAAATCGACTAAAATGGTTTAGACATGTGCAAAGAAGACCACTAGGTGCATTTGTTAGGAAGGAGTGATATGGTCCACAATGGGGGTAATGCTAGGGAAGAGGAGATCGAAATTAACATGAATAGAATTAATAATGAAAGGTGTGGTAACATGTGGTTTGCTGAAGTTATGGCATTAGATAGTGTAGAATGGGAAAATAAAATTTATGTAACCACCCTAAATGTTGGCAAAAGCTTTGTTGATTTGAGCTGTATTCATCTATTGTTTGTTTCTTGGTCAACAATCACATTAGTATCAGAAACATCCCATGACTGATGATTTTTGTTTCCAGATTCGGCGGAACCCCTTTCAAGAGAAGTTTCGAGTCCCCTTCAGCTTGGAAGTCCCCCTCAGCTTGGAAGTCCCCTTGGTTCATTAACTCTTTTCTGCCGGGTCCAAGAGTTGATACTGATATAACAATTGAGGTATCTCAAGTTCTTGCAGTTACATGTAATATTGAAGTATATGATGGATTTTGTTATAGGTTCTTTTTATTTTATTTTATTTCTTCTGATTTGCTTTTCCATCTGTGTAATACTTGGAATTTTCTTCCAGGATATAGGGTATTTTATGAGCCCAGGGAACAGAAGCTATGATGCCATTGGATTGATGAAACAGTTGAGTGACCATACTGCAGCTGCATTGGCTGATGCGCAGGAGGTTTTGGGAAATGAAACTCTTGAAACAGAATTAACAGAAAATGACTACCACAATCAGAAACTGGACCGGGAAAATAATCATATTGCTGATAGTCAGCCAGAGAACCGTGACATTGTGGCTTCAAATGTATTGGTATGAATTTTTTGGCATAATTTTCAATATTTGGTTTAGATTCTCTGATTCTGTTGCTTCAGTCAGCTCCATAGAATGGTAGTACTAGTTTCTGAACGCAACTAGTCCAATTTGTTAATAAACTTACAATGGAACTCTCAGGCAATGGTACGCCTACCACCCTCATTTGAGTGCAATTAGACAAGCAATGATCAAATGGGTCCATGCCACTATTTCTTACTTACGCTAGAAGTGGGTAATTCACGAAACTGGAGAAGTCGATGTTCTTCTCTCGCTCTTTTATTTTTATTTTATTTTTTATTTTATTTTATTTTTTTTTCTGACTTGTTTTGTGTCGTGTATGTTGTGAAGTCCTTTTCCAATGATAATAATGTCAAGCCCCTCTTCCCATATTGCTCTCTTTTAAGTGAACTAAAAAGTTTCTTCTTGTAAGTAATTTTCTGGACCTATAAAGATGACATGCCAAAGGGAAAAGGAAGAACTATCAAATCCTAGTTCTTCCAAAGATTAGGTATATAGTTTGTGAAGCAAAAAGGAGAATTTTGCAATATGTATATATATAAAATATATGAATTTGGTAAACATTTGTTATAGTTAACTAATTGGAGCCTCAAAAACTATTTGTATTATTCGTACTAGTAGCAGCAGCTGCTGAGCAATTGGAGCGAAAAAGTATAATTACTATTATCAGTTTATTATCGTCATTGTCATTTCTAGCTTGAATTAGTTTTCTTTCGACACTTCACTTGAGCTTATCTGATCACCACTCAATATAAAATGTAGTTTGGAGTTGACGAAGTTTAGGACTGATTTGGGTAATGCAAAATTTCTCTCCTGGAATAACTAATGGGATCCTTGCTACATATAGCATGGGACTCCTGAATCTGCATTTCCCAGAATTTGGATGAATTGTTGAATTAACTTGATGTTTTTATTTTTTTATTTTTTTTTATGACGTTTTGTATTTGGTATCCTTTGCAGAAAGAGTGGCGTGTTCTTGATTTTAGTGAATGTGGGACTCCTGGTAAGGGGACAGAAAGCGCGAAATTGTCTACGTCCACAAGCTCCTTAAGTCCATCTGCCATCTTTTGAAGTGCTGCAGGTAGTAGTAAGTTGTTATAGCTATAGAGGAGTATTCTGTAAGATATTACTGTAGAACTAATACATGTGTGCATATCTGCCTTTTTTGGCTTCTCAATCTTTGTTATGGTGTATGGATTTTGATATAATTACTAATAGATTAAAGATTGTTCTTGTGCTTTCTGATTTATCTTTTGGTGTTCCTTCATATCTTAGCACATTAGTATGGGAGGAGTTGAAACTTTTTATTATTGGGATGCAAAATGGATTTTGATACGACTATTTTTAGTGTTCTCTTTTCTCAATGATGATCCCTTGAAATGATTTTTCTTGATAAGCTCGTACTTGAATGACAAGAAAATGTCAACACCATGCAGCACAATATTTCAAATTACAGTTCTATGATGTGGAATAAAATTCAATTGAGATAAACCTATTACATAACATAGCTATAAAGACTCGAATAATATTGCTCTGCAACTTAAAGATTTGGGAAGCAATGCACAAATGATGCGAACTATGTGACAGATCAAAATTCTTATTATTGCAAAAAGTAAATAATGGAACAAATATTATGTAATAGGCATACACTTATCATCAAATTCAAAAGTTTAAATTGTTTTATGTTGCTGCGTATCCACTCTTGTAAGCCAAGATATCCTCCGTATCCGGATTTAATATGAGCCATAACACTCTCCTCCATCATTAAACTCACAATGCTCATTGCAGATATATTATTCTATCTATCTCGTACCTTAACCGTGAGAATACCCAAACACATACTGCACTCATCATGTGTGCACTTAGCATAAAAGCCATCGAGAATTGAATCTGCTCCAATACCACTTCTAATGAATTAGACCTTTGTCATCTCCCTTAATAACTTAAATTTTTAGTCAAAATATAAACTTCTATAAATTCTTGATCCACCTAATTTTTAAAACTGCTCTCAATTAAGTGTTATAATAATTTTTATTTATCTGAGTTGGTATCATGCGGTGCACTTAATGCATGATGTGCAAAAAGCTTTTCTTCTTTTCATTTTCTCCCCAATTTGCAAAAAGTTTTGGTATGGATCAAGGAATATCTCTCGTAAGTCTGTGCCCTTTGAAAAAAAAAAATTTGCCATGGTCAAAACATTGTGACCCATGATGTGCAAGAAGCTGCTGCTGCCCCTTTTTTTTTTTTTTTTTTTTTTTTTTTCATCTCTCCTATGTTTGCAATTATGATGCAAACAAAAGAACTAAGTAAACCACCACTACGTCGTGTCCTCCGGAATCGATTTAGGAAGGAGAAATTTATGTAGAGAGATTTTTTTTATTATTATTTCAGTGAGGGTAATTTTAAATTTTTTTGAATATAAATATAAAAAAGTACAAATTTAAAAATATAAAATATAGTAATAAAAAATTTCAGCGGGAGTGCATGCTCTCAATGAACCTTTCACAAATCCGTGCCTGCGTGTCCTGCCATGTTCTGAAGGTGCCACGTTGGCATGCTAGACGACAACATGGCATATGCATCATGCATGACGTGTGTATTATATAGATAGTATCTAGAATATTTGCTTGGCACATAGGCTTGTATATAATAACTATGATGGTAGCTATACTCTCTAGAAGTTGTGTGGAGTCTTGTAGTGTCCTGAAAATCTTAGAACTATTTCCTAGTGATTTTAGGCACTTTTAACCCCATAGTAACTGCTTATAAATGGCCCATAGTAACTGCTTATAAATGGAGTGAAATATTATTGGTGCACCATGTCCATATCAATTCATCACTCTTCAGAAAAATATTTTGTAATATTAGTAGAATCATTCTCGATTAACTCTTCATCCCTCTACAAGAAATCCGCAAATAGCTGTTTTGAAGTAAGGTTGGAGCATTTTCTCATTTAACTTTCTTGTAAATAAATGCACATTGAAAGAAACATAGATATAAGTACAAAATGCATGATTAGTTACATGTCTTACAAAACAAAAGAATTTATAGGGAAAAATGGAAAAATTCAATTGCTCCAAATGATTATGAAGTTTGATTCTAACATTTTTTTTTTATATTTCTGTACACACAAATTTTGATTCTAGAATTTCAGGAAGGAAAATAAATGTGATAAACAATAATTTTATTAAATATTGTCAAAAAATAAATGAATATAGTCCTCTGTTTGGCGATTCTATTACAGTATAGAATCTCCCTCTGATTGAATCTCCGTAAAACGTCGGTGCAAGGGCTTTATAAGCTTAATCTTAGGCCCCTCTAATTGAATCTCCGTGGAACGTAGCAAGGGCTTCATAAGCTTAATCTTGGGCTGGTGGTTGAACTGTATTTGAGTTCATCAAAATTGAAGAAAACTCAAATGGATTTCTGAGGGCCGGTGAGGCTTGATCTCGAACGGTGGATTTGAAAGTCTTTGAAGGAGAACGACACTTGTGTGCTTGTTGTTCTTCAGAATCTTTGAATGTTGACTAGCACGCTTGTTGTTTTCTTCTTTAGAAACTTCGTAGTTTTTGTTGAGTCAAAACTTTGATAGAGTTTCAATGTTTTGTTTGTCTTTTTCTCTGTGTGAGCTCAAAATGTGAGGGATGGCCTTGTATTTATAAGCCAAAAGGTAGGTTGTTTAATTTGGAAATTCCCCAATATTATGAGATTTTTCCATAAATAAAGGATTTATTTCCTTTTATATGGAAATCAATTCAAATTCAAATTTGAATTGAATTTGAATTAAACCGTCATTTTCTTTAAATGTCTGCATCTTTAGGATTTTGACACGATGGAACCCGTATTTGTGAAATTTAATTAATCAAGAAATATTTGACTTCTTGACTAATCGGACGGTGATTAAATCATTACAAATTTTAGGCGTCTACAAATTGCCCCCACTTCAAAACTTGACGACATGCATGTATAGATAACAAGCTTTGAAGTATTTGTTGGTTCGCCGATGTATCTTAGTCTTATCTCGACCAAATGTATCTCTTTGGTGTGACCCCAAGCAATTCACTTTCAGCCATTACCCCATATATATATATATATATATAATAACATGCTAGATAACATCCTTTGTGGAAGAATTTGAGCCCACCCAAGTGGTCTTGGATCTAATGGGTTGGGAACCTTCTTGTAACGTTTCTGATTTTCTGTATTTTTTTTCATTTTTCTGAAAATTCATTGACACAGGGGTATTTCGGCCTTTTCACATTTTTCATATGGGATTGTGGTTGGGTCCAGTTGCATTTTGTGCATTTTAATTTATGTGATGATGTAGTATTTATGTGGTGGTGCACTTATATGTGTTGTGGTGTGAAATTGATACAAAAGAAAAAGGAAAAAGAAAAGAAATTCGCGGGACCCACCACCCACTTAATTTATGGTCTAGAAACCATTTATTTTCCTTCATTCTTTCTCTCCCCGTCACTCTCTCTCTTCCTCCCTTTCTTCTTCATTTTCTTTTTCACTTTGGTTTCAACTTTTGAATCTTGATAACTCACTTAATTCTTGGAGTTTTGGTGTACCGTTTGAGGCAAAACGAAGCCCACGACAAGCTCTACGTGGTAGTACCATCAATTTCAGTTTCAGGCCTTCCCTTGGAGTTCGAAATTCTTGACCCATTTTAAGGGTTTTGTGCAATCTTGAGGTAGGGGCCCTTAATCCACGAAATCTTGTACCTTAGTAAGTTAATACCCTCTAATTGTTGCTTAATTTGATTAATTGTTTGATATCTAGAGAATTGTTGATACATATGCATATATGTTGATTAAGTGACTATGTGTGTTATGTAAAGAGCATGTGTAAGAATTGACTATATGTATTCATCTTGCTAGATTCTTGTTGTTTGAAAGCATGCTTTGATTTTTCTTGATATTCTTGTGAGTTATGCCATGTTGCTTAAATTAGACTAGTTGTGGAATGATGAGTATATGCATGTACTTGAAGCATCCATGAATTGACATTGGGCATGAAAGGGAAGAAATGATTTTGAAATAAAAAGAAAAATTTTAGGGAAAGAGTTTTGATGAAAAAAAAAAAAAAAAAAACTGTTTTATGAAAACCCGGTCGCCGCGGGAGTACCAAAGGGCCGGAAGGTTAATATAGCCTAGAAAGAACTAGGGAGTCGTCCTAGCGTGGTTGTGATATCCCTCGGATCTGAGACACGGGTTGATCAGGCCCAAGCCCAAACCCGAGGGATATCAAACAATTAATATGTTATAACGAACACAGATTACTAAATGAAATAAGAAATAAAGTTTAAGCTGAAAGGAACTAAAATAAAATCCTCAAATATAAATATTGAAACCCATTCAATCCAAACTCCAAAACTCCATTAGTTTACAACTCGGGAATCCATCTCTAGTGGACCCCTAATAACATCCAGACTGAAAATAAAACAACTGAATAAAAATTCAGAAATAAACTATGGATAGAATCCTACATCGTCGGAAGAGTGAATAGAAACCTCTACTCAGCACGAGCACGTCTAAGTCTGGAACTGTCGTGTACCTGAAAAATAGAAGTGGGTTAGGCCCACGAACAAGTTCTATACTACTACAATCCAAACAGAGGCCCGATACGCATGTACATCCTAAACAATTCAACAATAGCTAATAGTCCGTAAGTGTATATATATATATATAGTCACACTAAAGGACTCTCACTGGACTACAGGCCGGTCTCAACCTGAATAGAGGTAACATGCTAAAACGCACACGAAGTGGGCATGTGTACCTAAACCTAAATAGGGTACACCTCTAACCATCGTATCCAGCTATGCATCCCAATGCATATACGCTCCCTAACCGTCGATCCTAAGACTCAAGCTCATATCGAGGTACCATAACAATATATTTAAAATCCATCATGAATCCTAGTAGTGCCGCTCAACTAGTTGTTGCTATAACACTACAATAAATAGGACTTAACTTTTAGTTAAACCATTCCATAATCTAGAGTGGGTAGGTTTTGGTATTTTGAAACCAAACCGTCCCTAGTATACCACCGTCCCATACTGGTGTATACTATCCAATCATCCAGCAGTTGATAATATCAACAATTAAAATAACCATCAGCTAAATCCATATTTCCATTACTAATACTAACAGGCATAGTGTAAGCATCAATAAACACAACCAACCATATTCATAAACAGGCTCAGTTTTATATCCGTTACTGATACTATCAATTAAACACAGCCA